CTTCCGATCTCAGAACGCTCCTGTAATCTTTGCATGAAAGCAGGGGGTCCTGGTACAGTCACTCCGTAACCCCCTTGGCCACTTAGTCATTTCATATATATGTGTGTGTGTGTGTGTGTGTGTGTGTGTGTGTATAGACATCTGTCTGCATCTGTGAGCACATTTCTGTTTGTTTCCGTGGACAGTAGATGGGAGGGTTCATGGTCTCAGTCCTCATCGCAGTAGTCATTCTGTCATTGAAGCTTTAACCTGACATGTGGGGGAAAATACTCAATTTGCAATCTAAACACTGAGGTTAAGTATCGCCACGTGGTCTTTTTATATTTGTTCTGCAAATTACCTCTAGCTATTGCCCTTTTTTAAAGAATTTGAACTACTGGGACCAGCAGTTAGCGTAATGACTATGTCGCTGGACTCCCACATAGTCGACCGCTGTTCGAGTCCTGGACCCGGTGGCTTAAACTCACGCCGGGCGCGTGTGCGTGCATGCCCAAGATCCCAAGAGGAGAATGGAGGAGAAGGGATTGCGGCGTGGCCATCCCTCCTGGGCGGTGATTTCTCGCTTTCTATCTCTCTATCTGTCTGGCGAGCGCACGCGCCCTATAGCAAAAACCTCTCAAAAAAAAGAATTTGAACTACTGGACTGGCCTGTGGTCTAATGGCAAAGGAGCTGTGTCCACAGGGCTGACCTCACGGTTTGAATCCCAGCATAGGTGGCTTAAAAGGCATGCAGGACACACGTGTGTGTGTGCCCCAAATCCTGAAAGGATGGAGAATGGAGTAGAAGGGAGCGCACTGTGACCATGCCCCCTTGGGAAGTTCTCTCTCCCTTTGTTTCTCCGTCTCTGGAGAGAGTGGATACATCCTTTAGCAAATTAAAAATATTTGAAGAAAAGAATTTGAAGGCCAACAGGTGGCATGGCGCTTAAAGCACTGAATCCCACGTAGCTAGTTGTGTGGTTTGAGTCCCAGACTCAGCAGTTCGACAATCACGCCAGTCGTGGGACCAGATTATGTAGCGGTTATGTGGCTAGATTCCCACGTGGTCAACCACGGTTCGAGTCCCAGACCTGGTGGCTTCAAACTCACATTAGGCACATGTGTGTGCATGCTCGAGATCCCAAGAAAAGAATGGAGGAGAAAAGGGATTGCAGTGTGGCCATCTCCCCTGGGGGGTGATTTTTCAACTTTCTGTCTTTCCCACGAGTGCATGTGCTCTGTAGCAAACCTTCCCCCACCAAAAAAAGTCAACGCCAGTCGCATTTATCTGAATGCCCGAAATTCTGAAAAGTGAATGGAAGAGAAGGGATTGCAGCCTGGCTGTCGCCCCTGGGGGGAGGCGGGTTATTTCTTACTTCATTATTTCTGTCTCTTTCTGACAAGTACACATGCCATATAAGTAAAACTCAAACTAAAAGAGTAAGTAAAAATAAAGAATTCGAACAGGTAATCTTTGTCTTCCCTTGTTTTGATACTTGGACTATTGATTCGTTGTCCTATGTGTGGCAGATTGTTTTTCCCTAGAAAGTCTATTTGTCCTTTTTTAAAGTTACGTATTTCTTCCGTGAGAGAGAGAGAGCACCCCACCCAACAAGATCTTCATGCCACAGTCCACCCCTGGCCTCAGCATGAGCGTGCCTGGCGTACTTACGGAGGCTCCAGATGCAAACCTGTAGTTCCCCATCGAGGTCTGGGCACTGCGTTTTTCTGTGGTGCCCTCTGCTGCTCCCCCTGCACCCCCTGCCACACACACCCCTTCTTTAAAGACCAGCTTTCTCTGTCTCCATCCTTCTGCCTCAGCTTCTCAGCTGGAGCTCCGCATGTATGCCATCACGCCTTGCCCTTTTGAGACAGGATCTCACATTTTTACCCAGGCCGGCCTCGTGCTCACCATCCTCCTGTCTCAGACCCTCTGATGGCTGGGATTACAGGCGCGGGCTCCTGCACCCAACTTGCAGATTGGACCGGGGCTTGAACTCGGGCCTCCCATGTGACCCTGGTCCGCCCAGCACAGCGCAGTAGCGCGTGGGCTATTGTTTCTGTGCTGTTTGTCTTTTGACTCCTGTGGCGTGTCTTGTCACAAGAGAAATTTCAGACTTTCATGGAACAGTTGTCAGAGCATCGTGGACGTTGGTTTTCTTCTATCGTATTGCTAGAGTTATTTTTCTGAATTGGTGACAAAATTACATTCACACATCATTAAAAAGAGCTCCCCGTTGGACAATTCTGTAAATGAGAATGGTGAAGTCTGCTTAATGAGCACAACTGCCTTTCACCTTGTCGATACCTTTACGGTTTTTGGCCTAGTGTAGTTGGTTTTAAAGCACCTCACAGTTCTGTAAGACCTTTAAGGGGAAGGCCACTGCGCTCTGAACTGTAGGTCTCAGTTTCCTCACTGGTAAAGTGGGAAGGTTTTGGCTTCAAACTCTATGAATCTGGGGGCCGGCAGGTGGTGTGGTGGTTAAGGGCACTGGACTCCCACATGGCTGACTTTGGTTCGAGTCCTGAACATGGTGGCTTGCTTTCTCGCTTTCCCTCTCTTTTGCTCTGTCCCTCTCTGGTCAAATTAAAATAAGTAAATAAATAAAGTTAAATAAAATAATTTTTTAAAAAAGAAACTCCATAAACCTGTTCCTTTGATTATTAAGAATCGGTACATTTGCCTACTTTAATTATTTCCCCAATCCCGTGGAATTTTAGATTCTTTGATACTTTTATATAATAATTGTTTCATTTCTGACTTGTGCTGTTTGGTCGAATGGTTGTTTTTAAACGCATCCTCTTAGTTTTTGGCTGCCAATCTA